TACACATATATATATATACACACACAATCTTATATATTGGTTAAAGGTTTAAAATGATCACTTATACTTTATTTGGGAGGAGTGGTACACGATACTAAGGACTGAACCCAGGGTTTTGTACTGAGCTACATCCCCAGCCACTCAAAACAACTTTTTTTTTTTTTTTTTTAAATTTTGACACAGGGACTTGCAATCCTCTTGTCTCAGCTTCCCAAGTAGCTAGGATTACAGGCATGTACAACCATACCTGGCTTACCTGAACTTTTAACATATAATTTATTGCATTTTATGGTGGAGAATTATATATTATAATGCTATCACAAAGTCTCAGGACATTTTCTCCACAAAATGTAGGGCTTAGTGAGATCAACTGGGGGGAAATAACATAAAAATTACATTTTTACATAAAGAATGTTCTTTTAAATTCAAAGACCCAGGTGTGGTGGTGCACACCTGTAATGCTAGCACCTAGGAGGCTGAGGCAAGAGGACTGCTATGAGTTTGGCCAACCTGAACTACACAGCAAATCCTATCTCAAAAAACCCAAAAAATAAAGTCCAAGGAAAAGCATTAAGAATAACATATATAAAACACACGTGATTATAAATGGCACTGAAAAATTTATGATTTGTGTGTGGTAGCACATGCCTGTAAACCCAGGGAGTCCAGAACCTTAAGCAGGAGAATGTAAGTTCTAGGCTAGATTGGGGAACTCAGGCTTGTCACAAAATAAAATTTAAAAAGTGTTGGTTGTGCAACATGGTGAGGTACACCTGTAATCCTAGCACTCAGAAAGCTAAGGCAGGAGGACTGTAGAGTGTTCAACGCCAGCCTATACTACACAGTGAGACCCTATCTTAGAAAGAAGGAAAGAAAAAAAAGGGAAGGGTACTTGTTTGCTAGTTCTAATAAAGTGCTTGCTTAGTATGTAAGCAACAGGTTCAATCCTGAGTAGTGACGTGGGTGGGGAAGAGTACAATTTAAGGCTAAACAAATTAAAGGTCTTAGATTAACTTGGTCTTACAACTTTTTTTTTTTTGGGGTACCAGGGATTGAACTCAGGACCTTACACTTATGAGGCAGGTGCATCACCACTGAGCTAAATCCCCAGTCCAAAGGGTTTTATATCTTGATATCACAATGAAGCTGTATTAAGTAAAAAGTCTTAAAACTATTATGCCAAGTTATCATTAAAAAATATCTATCTAAAGACTATAAGAGCAAGAAGCAATTTAAATATGTTCGGGGACCATTTTCATCTCCAGAATTAAGGATTATTTTAATGTTACATCATTGCCTTTCCTCTTTTACTTTCCTTTTTAGTTTTATTTTAGGATTCCCTATTTTTAATGTTCATACAGAGATTTCTTTAACTGAAATACCAAACAGTTTCTCTGGTGTGAAAAACTATAATAGTACACAGGATCCTAATGAGATAATTAATAATGTGAAATAGGAAGTAAAGGGCTAAAGGTGTAGGGAAAGTGGGGTGGTTGGGGGAAAAGTAATAAGGGAGAGGAAAAAAATATGAGAAATTGAAAAAATGTAAATAAAGTGTTTGTAAATGGGGAGGGGAGGAGGGGGTGAAGGGAGGGCAGGGACACGGGGTAAAAATGAGAATCAAGACCTATTGTGTAAAGGTACAGGATCCCAATGATGAATGTAACTGTATTGTATAACTAGATTGTACCAATAAACTCAATAAAAAGAACAAGCAAAAATATCTATCTATTCTACCTAAGAGTCACTTTAAAAATTTAGAAAGAGCTGGATCCTATAATTAAGGAATGCAATGTAGCTCCCTCTACCTTGAATAATTTAAAAAATATATACTCACCCACAAACAGTATCAGACTAAAATGGAACAAAGAATGCACTTCTTTGCTAATATTTGCGGTGGCACATAAGAAATTTTAAAGATTTAACAACATCATTTTATATATTAATATTCATAGCTTTTCAACATAAAAGAGTCCTAAAAAGAATCTCAGACAGTTAGTATTTGGTTTTAGAAACATAAAGCTGATGTTTTTCTCATTCATTTTACTAAACTACTACAGTCCCTCAAACCAAAGGGATCCATGACACTACCATCTCTCTGACACAGCTAGGATACACCTGAGGTGATCCTTGAAGGATGTCAATAACATTTACCTACAACAGCTAGGTGCTGGAAATTCAACTGTTCCAAAACATTCCATCTAGTATGTGTATGCCTAATGCCAAGTGCTATCTACTAGAGTCATCTATGTCATACCTTCAAAGAAAGAAGCGAGACTGTCAATTCTAAGTACCTGGTTGGTGTTGTCAGGAAGAAAAGCCAAGGCTGCAGCAATACTGCCTTGGGCCGCCAACAAATTGGCATACTGACTCATCTTCTCAGCCAAAAGAACCCCAACAGTATTAGTGTCCATGGTTTGGGTGAGTTGTACAGCTTTTCGTAGAATGATGACTTTCTCAATTAGATCCTAAATGAGAAAAAATAAGGCAAGGTAAAAGAGAAACAGAAGTACCATGAGAAGAAGTAAGCAAAGGTAAAATTACTAAGATTTCTAAAACCTATTAAAAGTATAGTACTTATTATCCCAGTTTGAAAATTATGGAACAGCTGATCGCTGTTTAGGAAAGTGAAAAAGAAGATGGAAAAAAATCTGTTACTATAGAGAGCTTACCACCTTCTACTAAGTATTCCTAATTAGACAACCAGCTATTTGTCTAGTGATGTAATCAAAGGCAAAGACCGTGTTCTAGCAGCAGAGGAACTATAAGAACACAATACCACCAATCCTGTAACAACACACCTGCCACGAGGTGACAGGCGACAGAAGCACAAGACCTCTAAAAGGACTATCTGTTATAGTTTACAAATGAATGTCTGACAGGCCAACTATGTTAAAGGATTGCTCCCAGGGCAGTGCCCTGGGATGGGGCTGAGTGGGAGGTCCGCAGGTCACTGGTGCACACCCTGAAGGGGAGTGGGGCCCAAGATACTTCCTGACTGCCTACCTCTCCTCTCTTTTTATTTAGTACCAGGGACAAACTTAGGACCTTGTGCTTCTGAGGCAGGCAGTGGAACCACTGAACCACATCCCCGGCCCTGCCTACCTCCCCTCTCTCCTGCTTCCTGGTGCACAGTGTATGTGGTTTGCCCCATCTTGTGCTCTCACCACAATATGCCGCCCTGATCAGAGGCCAAAGGGCAATGGGCTGCCCGACCTCAGACTGGAACCTCCAGAACCAAGAAGCCAAGCAAACCTTTTCTTTTTAAAAGTTAATTAATTTAAAACTTCATCACAGTCATACAAAGCTGACTAATACATTACTGTGGCTCAAAGTTTTCCAAGCTGTTCTTCAACACCAACACTTTGAAAAAGGGTGAGATATGCTCCAGGCAGCATGCATAAGAATATTCCACGTATCTACCCTTCATAAGTATACAAATTCAGAAATGTGAAACAAGTGGTTTTTTTCCTCAGGAGCACTGAAAAGAAAAACCTCAATTTTCTACCTGACTTGTAGTTCCAATAGAATGATCTTTGAAGCAACAACAATGCTGATAAAGTCTTTCATGAGAGCAAAAGAAATACTGCACTAAGACTGCAGATTAAATGGTTTGGGAAAAATCTAAAGATATAGTTATTCAATGACTGAAAAGTCTTAACAATTTTTTGCTTCCACTTGCTTGTATTTTGGGATACATGGGATTCTAGTTATGTTTTCCTTTCATTTTGTCTTAATCACAAAAGTTCTCTACTAGTATTAAAGATGCCTCCTATTTCTTAGGCCATATTACTTCTGTCTTCGCCAAGACAGAGGGGCCACTGAAGGAGGAATCTGAGGTAAGAGGTAAAAAAAACCCTAGGGCAGTGATGGCAAACCTTTTAGAGACTAAATGCCCCAACTGCAACCCAAAACCCACTTATTTATCGCAAAGTGTCAACACTGCAATTAAAAACTAGAATACTGAGGTTTTAGTTTAGAAAAACAAAACAAAAACTCATACATTAACATCGTCTTAAAAGAAAGACACAGTGCTGGAGATTTAGTGCAGTGGTTCTGCAGCCTGCCTTGCAAGACGAAGGACCCAAGGTTCAACCCCCGGTACCAAAAAACAAAAACACAATAATAGAGCTTTCAATGATACAAACAGCTTTTTATTAAAAGGCAGAAGTTTGCATTTGGCATGCTCTTGCACAACTGATGTGATTTTTGCTGTTTTATATATGCTGATAATTTATCAATACTTGGCTGAGGTGACTTGGCTCACATGCTGACAGAGGATTCTGCGTGCCTGCTGTGGCTTATGTGCCATAGATTCACCACCACTGCCCTGGGGCACTTTCAGCACTCCTGCCACCTACTACACCCAATAAACTGCCAAATCCAACCCTGATTTTACAATCAGCTGCAACTCCCATTTTATTATTCTATCGCCTCAAACTTTGCTGCTTCAAAGACAGCAATAAATGCACCTAATTTTCTAGCAAAAGACTTTCTAAAATGAAAATAAGTAGTGCAAAAGAAACTAATAGAACAAATCAATTTCTGGAATAGAACTTGATCATTTAAGTAAGTTATAAGAAAACACTAAAAAGCAAGCACCTTTTATTTCCAAGATACTAACCTGAAGGGACAAAGGACTGCTACTATCTTGAGCTTTAGTCCAACATGCAACTAATTTCTCTACATTCCCTGCACAAATATAGCAGAGACACGCCTGAGTTTGCAGGATGCCATCTCCTTCACTTTCAAGCCTGGCACCCAGAAGATCTGCAAGACAAGAGGACCTACGTTATACCCAATGCAATCTGCTACACGGCTGTGAGCAGCTCACTCAAAGTTTCCTACGTACAGACTAAACTTCACAATCAATGAGCAGCAGACAGAAATAAAAATCACTCAAAATGTTCCTCAGTAAATACTCTGTTAAACAAATGGAAATACATGACAAATTATATATATATGACACACATATATACATATATATGACAAATTATTTATGATATAGATAACCCTATTTCACAGGGTTCTACCTAGCTGTAGAACTGACTTCCATTAAATATAGTAGAACAACAATAAATGAGAACAATATTATAACACAAAACTCCTAACAGCGTATTTGGAATAGTTATCAATGGTAGCTCTGCCTATTAAAATTATTTATGGCCGGGCATGGTGGTGCACACCTATAATCCCAGCACTCGAGAGGCTGAGGCAGGAGGATTGCTGTGAGTTTGAGACCAGCCTGAGCTACATAGTGGGTTCCAAGTCAGGGTCAACTATACAGTGAGATCCCATCTCA